ACGTTAATCTATTGAAAACAAAACAGCAAAATAGATTGCCTACCGAGCCAATTACTGGATTGTCTACTACACACAAACCGTCTGTAATGACATTATCTAAAACAATATCTAACAAATAAGCCACATAAGTGGGGATTCAAGTTGTACGTTTTATGTAGTGTTGTTGGATTCACCTAAAAATTTTAAATTTATTCTGACCAAGACATTACCACAAGTCCTGAAGGGGAGCCTGACTTAGGTCCTACAAATAATGTTGTGCTTCGCTTAACCAGAAATGTTCCACGAATGGTCAACCATATTATCTTCTTCGATAATTTTTATACATCTTTGCCATTATTTATCTATTTAGCTAAGCAAGGCATACATTGCCTTAGCACAATTTAACAAAACAGAATTCTCAACAACAACTACCAGACAAAAAAGAGATGATAAAAAAATAACCGCATCATATGAGGGAATTGATTTAGCTTGCATAGCTTAGAAAGACAATAAAATAGTGACCATGTTATCAAGTTAATAGGTGCAAAACCTGTTTCAACTGTCAAAAGGTTTCAGTTAACAAAGCCCAGTCAAAAATACACAACATGGGCATAATAGGTTTAATACATTTAATATGCTATTTCAATACAACATTTTTCTTAATCACGTCTAAAGAACTTTAGATTTGCGAAACCGAACTAAATGTAAAATAAAACTTCGTTAAGTACTAAAATCTATAATTTTATAAAAGTTTATAATTTATGTTAATTATTACTCAGGTTAGTAAAATGGCTCCGACCAGGTCCGGTGGTAAAAAAGAGGTCAATTGTGAAGCATGCCGCAGCTTCCAAGCATAATAGTCCACGAAGAAAATTGAGGGATCATTTTAAAACCTGCACAGCCGTTAAGCGTTTGAGAAGAATACCAATTTTTACAAAAGAACAAGAAAATGATTTCACAGAACGAATAAAAAGATTCGGTAAAATTGGTGTATCCCTCACGCCAAAACCCATAAGGAAACAATCGTATATGTTTTATGAAACATACTAAATAAAAAATAATGAAAAATGCTTACTTGCTAAAAATGATATTCGACGGTGCCAAATGTCACTTGTCATCACTGGCAACACGCACTGGTTGTACAATCTAGTTTTTAGAGATTGAGGTATACCTGACGAAAAGATATGCCGTAATTTCCCGAACGCTGCCCAGCCGAGTTGAATCCGTCGATTGACCTCTCGGTCGAAGTTGGACTTACCTAGTCGGACTATTTGTCCCAGGTAAACGTATTCGTCAACAACTTCGAGCATAGTGCTCCCAACAACTACCGGCATAGGTGTGACATGGACATTGAACATGATCTTTGTTTTGTCCATGTTCATCTTAAGACCTATCCGTTGGGAGGCACTATTGAGGTCATTGAGCATAGTGCTTAAGTCCTCCAGCGATTCTGCCATAAGGACTATATCGTCGGCAAATCGAAGGTGAGTGATGTACTCGCCATTGATGTCAATACCGTATCCTTTCCAGTCCAGTAGCTTGAAAACGTCTTCCAATGCAGCGGTGAAGAGTTTCGGGGATATAACGTCACCCTGTCTTACACCTCTCTGCAGTTGGATAGGTTTCGAGCTCTGGTTCTGTACTCGGATAGCCATCGTAGCCCTACTGTACAAACACTTCAGCACTTCGATATACCGACAGTCAACTTGGCACCGCTGAAGGGACTGTAGCACCGCCCAAATTTCGACGGAATCAAAGGCTTTCTCATAGTCCACATACGCCAGGCAAAGTGGCAGATTGTACTCTTCAGTCTTCTGTACAATCTGCCGCAGGGTATGTATGTGGTCTATGGTACTGAAGCCTTTTCGGAAACCGGCTTGTTCGGGAGGCTGGAAGTCGTCAAGTCTGCGTGCGAGACGATTCGTAATGACTCTCGAAAACAGCACGTAGACGCGGCTCAGAAGGGAAATCGGTCTGTAGTTCTTTAAGAGAGCGTTGTCGCCTTTCTTAAAGAACAAGACCACCGCACTTCTGCTCCACGCCTCTGGAGTAGTGCCACCATGGAGGACGGAATTGAAGAGCTTCTGAAGGACTTCAAGTACCGGTGTTCCACCCGCTTTCAGAAGCTCCGCTGTAATTCCATCCTCGCCTGGGGCCCTGCCGTTTTTAAGGTGCTGGAGAGCCATTCTAATCTCGCTTAGACTGACGTCCGGGATATCATCGGAATAGTGTCGGATAAGACTTGCTCTTGGATCGTTACTCACACTTGCGTGTGGCTCCAACGATGATGTGTACAGCTGCCCATAGAACCTCTCAATCTCACTCAAAATCTCAGGTGTCCCGGAAACGATGTTGCCACACTCAGTCTTCAGCCTTGACAGTTGGCTCTTTCTGGCAGACAGATCTCTGGCAAAGACTTTGGAGCCCTGGTTCCGCTCGATCGCTTCTTTAATACGAGAAGTATTAAAGTTGCGTAAGTCTCGCCGTATGCATTTGGAGATCTGTCTGTTCAGTTGCCTGTATGCTGTCAAATCTGTTGACGATTGCAGCCTCATCTCCCGTCTAACAGCCATGAGATTAAGAGTGTGATCGGAGAGTTTTTGTGTTCTTCTGCGGCGGGTCTTACAGAACTTAGCTCCGACCGCATGGACAGTTTCCACGAGCTTGTCGTTCATATCGTCCACTGCATTGCAATCTTCTAGGCACTGGAAGCGGTTACGTAACTCGAGCTGAAAGGTTTCGGGATTCTGGATTAGAGCACGAGGGGGACGGAGCGTTGACTTCATTAGACGAGACCTCTCCAACTTAACGTTTAGGTTCAGTGTGCCTCTAACCATTCGGTGATCGCTGCCAGTTTTCACCCTTGCGATCACTGAGACATCACTGAACAGTTGGCGTCTGGTCGTCATAATGAAGTCAATCTCATTTTTTGTCGAACCGTCGGGGCTCGACCAGGTCCACTTCCTGTGGGGCCGCTTCTGGAAGAAAGAGTTCATCATAAAGAGTCCCTCTTTCTCCATAAAGTCGGCCAGCTGCTGGCCCCTTCGGTTCCGTTGCCCTACTCCAAATTTCCCTACCTTCAGCTCACCGCTTTCTCTTGTGCCCAGTTTTGCGTTGAAGTCTCCCATCAACACCGTGTAGTAGGTTCTGGAGGAATGTATGGCTCTGGAAATATCCTCATACATTTCCTCCACCTCCTCATCGGGATGTGCCGAGGTTGGTGCGTAAACCTGAATGACCTTCAGCGAATACCGTTTGGTGATTCTGAGTATCAGGTACGCGACCCTCGTCGACACACTCCCAATCTTTACAACGTTGTTGACGAGAGATTTGTGGACGATAAATCCGACACCTCCTTGGGACAGATGGTCGCCCTCCCGGTGATAGAACAAGTTGCCGGACTCGAGGATTGCCGTGTCCTCCCCCTCTCTTCGGACCTCGGATAATCCAATAATATGCCAGCGCAACTTGTCTACCTCTTCTTCCAGCTCCAGTATCTTCTCGTCAGTCCTCAGGGTGCGTGCGTTATATGTTGCCAGGTCGAGTCGTCGTAGGTGGCAACCGAACCTCCACCGGAGATTCTTAGCACCCCCTGCCCCGCCGTTACCATGGTCGCCACCGTAGCCAGGAATAGCGGGGCCGCCGGGGACTGGGGGCCGTCTGTTTGTGTATTTGTTCATTGGGGGTATTTGCCATAGTTGCCACGCTTGGCGAGCGGGTTGGCAACCGCAGTTTTTTATTACGTCACAGTTGTCATCAGGAAGACGCTGCTGCCCATCTCCTGCCTGTCTCCCTCTGTCGCCTCTTACGACACCCACGGGAAGATATGGGGTAGTGGATATTCTTAACCGCCACTACACGGCAAACCTCAATCTCTAAAAACTAGATTGTACAACCAGTGCGTGTTGCCAGTGATGACTTACGGATCTGAGACGTGGTCCTTCACTGCTGGCCGTATGAGGACGCTTAAGGTCGCTCAGCGAGCTATGGAGAGGGCTATGCTCGGAGTTTCTCTGCGTGATAGACTCAGAAATGAGGATATCCGCAGTAAAACCAGAGTGACCGACATAGCCCAACGGATTAGTAAGCTGAAGTGGCAATGGGCCGGCCATATAGCTCGAAGAACCGATAACCGATGGGGAAGAAAGGTTCTCGAGTGGCAGCCTCGTACCGGTAGGCGTAGTGTAGGGCGACCCCCCACTAGATGGAGTGACGACCTGGTAAGACATGCAGGAAGTCGATGGATGCAGGTGGCTCAGGACCGTGCTTTGTGGCATTACTTGGGGGAGGCCTATGTTCAGCAGTGGACTTGTGAAGGGCTGTAATGATGATGAATGATGAAATGTCACTTGTCAATAGAAGTTCTAGACGAAGCTGATAAAAACATTTTTTACGTGATAGAGCCATTCTGCAGCTATATTAGTAGTATAGTTACAGCACGAATGGGTCAGCTCAACCGAGGAAGGACCAAGCTCTCACAGAATACCAGCGTAAAATAGCAGCTTAATGCTGCTCTATTTCGTATGGTGCATTCGTTTATTTTAGAGCTCGTGTATATTAGTGCAACAATGCATTCCATTCTAGTTCTCACGGGTGACTACGCATCTGCATTTTGATTCGTAATCGAGGATAGATGTAGATGTCTACGGGTCACAGCAACCACTTATAATCAGGTGGACTGTGTGCTTGTTTTTCATTCTTATACTATAAAAAACAGTTTTGCATTGCCTCCCTTCCAACACAACGCACGAGCTGCAGCCCTTAGACAAATCAGTCAATAAGTCATATAAACACAACTGGAAAGAAACAGTTCTGAACTTCTTACACACAAACCCCGACAGATCAATGTCAAAAGCCACGTTTAATAGGATATTGAGTCAAGTCTGGACCAAATGAATGACGCATAGCAACATTTTAAATGGATTTGCGGGAACAGGACTGTTTCCGTTTAATCCTGAAGCTATATGAGAAAACATATGCCCCCATCAGTTTTGTCTCAATTTGCATGCCCACAAACTAGCATGGACCCCATATTAAGTCTTACGTCTGACGTCATATTATACGGTGACACTGATGACGATCTACCAATTTGTGATTGGCTCCTGAAGAATTCTACATATGATGCATTGGAGTTAGACGAACAGCTTGGTTTTAACCAACCAACAGATTTAGGAGCAACCGTCCTTACAAAAACTGAAAACTTTTCAAGAGTTAAACCCCTTTTCGATGACTATAGCTTATCACCGAATGTTTCTGACTTAGAAATGGTAGAAAATCCACATAGACCAACAACACAGATGGACGAGCACCGTGCTTCACCTTCTTTAATTCCAGAAAATGACGTTTTATAGGCAATTGCGGATGACCGACCACTTCCAGACAATGATGATATTTACAAAGTCCAGGAATTATTAAAACACGAACGTTTATACAATATTAAATCGCCAAATTTAAAAAACAAAATGATGCGAGACGCTGCTATGCTCTCAATATCTCAAGCAATAAGAATAGCCGGTTACGGCACAAAAGAAGTATATGCGAAGTTAAGAAGCATTAAGTCTACATATTACCAAGAAAAGAAGAAAATTAAACACAAACTACATGACGAATGAGCAAGTTTTTCGTAGTCTGAAACGGAACGTGTAAAACACGTTTTTATATATTTTGGCATGGCTTCTGGGCCTTTGAGCCATTGTAAAACACGTTTCGTCTCCAAAACTATTGAGAATGATAAACGAAGTAACATTACTTTTTTCCTGGCTTTATTTGAAAATTCAATTATGAGATACTAAATAAGAAAAAAATATATGCAATTTCATAAGATATTTCACATCACTAGACGCAATAGAAAAATTTTAGATCAACACTGGACATGACTCTTTGTCCAGGAATTATTGAAACACGAATGTTTATACAATAGTAAATCGCCAAATTTAAAACATAAAATGATGCGAGACGCTGCTATGCTCTCAATATCCCAAGCAATGGAAATACCCGGTTTCGGCGCAAAAGAAGTATATGCCAAGTTAAGAAGCATTAAGTCTACATATTGCCAAGAAAAGAAGAAAATTAAACACAAACTACATGACGAATGAGCAAGTTTTTCGTAGTCTGAAACGGAATGTGTAAAACACGTTTTTATATATTTTGGCATGGCTTCTGGGCCTTTGAGCCATTGTAAAACACGTTTCGTCTCCAAAAGTCTATTGAGAATGATAAACGAAGTAACATTACTTTTTTTCCTGGCTTTATTTGAAAATTCGATTATGAGATACAAAATAAGAAAAATATGCAATTTTATAAGATATACATCACTAGAGGCAATAAAAAATTTTAGGTCAACACTGAACATGACTCTTTGTCCAGGAATTATTGAAACACGAATGTTTATACAATATTAAATCGCCAAATTTAAAAAATAAAATGATGCGAGACGCTGCTATACTCTCAATATCTAAAGTAATGGGAATAGCCGGTTTCAGCGCAAAAGAAGTATATGCGAAGTTAAGAAGCATTAAGTCTACATATTACCAAGAAAAGAAGAAAATTAAAGACTCCTGTAGGTCAGGGGCTAGAGTCATATTAAGACACATTTTTCTCACTTTAGCGTTTTTAGGAAATTGGTGTGCACCAATATCTTTGCAATAAGGCACTTCACACATCTTTGATATCTCATCATACAATTTTACCTTTTTTTGACAATTACCAACCCAATTTCTTACTCGAAGATTTCACATAATAGTGACATCCCCTTCCACATGTGTGAACACCAACTTGCTATTTGTCACTTGTCATTGCCGCTCGCACTTATCACTTCTCAAAATGTAGTGTCTGTCACCCGATATGACAAGTACATAAAGCTCGACAAAATGAGTTCTGTGAAGCGAAAGTGTTACAATTGAATACATACAATTGAAGAAAAAAGTGCAATATTACACCGATTAGAAGCCGATGAATCAAATGCAACCCAAAAAAAGCAGTTTGGAATATTTAATTCTAGAATATCCTCATTAAAGAAGAACGAAGATAAGATCGAGCCGCTGTTTAGTACCAATGTTTTGAAATTCAAACGTGTAAGGACATCTACTCATGACCAGGTGGACAAGGCGTTATCACAGTGGTTCAAGCTTCAGAGCGACCGAGGAATACCCGTTAATGGATCTCTGCTACAAGAGAAAGCAAACTTGTTTGCTAGACAGTTAAACATGCAAAATTTAACATGTTCCATGAGTTGAATAAACAGTTTTACAGTAAGACACAACATCGTCAGTGGTGAAATTGCTGGCGAGTCTTTGTCTGTTCAACAGAGTGATGTAATCGATTGGTTAGAAAAAGTATAGCCTACTCTACGTGCGCAGTTCAGAGATGATGAAATTTTTATTGCAGACTTGGCTGTTTTGTAAATTAACCCCGGACAAGACATTGAAACTTGAAGAATGTACAGGAGGTAAATTAGCAAAGGAGATAATTATTATGAGTGGGACAGTTAAAAAAAACTTCTCGCAATAGGAAAATGTCAACGTTCCAGATGTATGTATGTCCCAGATAAAAATTCACGGCATTTGCCTAGCAATCGTAGAGCCTGGATGACTGCTGTTTTTTTACCAAATGGGTACGCGCACGGAATTTCGAACTTACGAAAAAGAACAAGAAAATCCTGCTATTAGTTGACAACTGTCCTGCACATCCCCATATTGAAGACTTGAAAAGCATAACCCTAGTGTTTTGCCTCCAAACACGACAGCAGTGTTGGAACCCATGGATCAAGGGATTATTCTGACTTTGAAAGGACAATTTCGTAAAAACCTTGTCCGATTGTACAAATATCCTTTTTATTTATTTTTTATCTTTTTTATTTTTATTTGATTACCATCATGAAGAATCCATAATGAAGTTAAATTTATTTTTAAATTGATATATAGTTGCGCGGAAAAAAGAATCGGTTATTCTCATAATTTTGTTCGCGGGTATATTGCTCGCCAGTGTCCGTCCTTCCCGTATCCACATTTCTTCCACACGCACTGAAGGGGGAGGGGGTCTATAAAATGTGGTGCCACCTTTTCAGCCAATGAAACCCGAGTAAGATGGCCGACCTAAGGACACGCACAGCCGTCATTTGCTCTCTGCTTCTTCTCTCGCATCGTTGTCAGCCTAGCGTAGTGCGAGTAATCGTCGCGCACCGCTTTCTTTCAACGCACCACCAGAACAGAAGCGTCGTCCGCGGCATCAGGAACTCCAACCCGGTAAGTGTGTTTTCCTTTTTTATTTTCTTTTATTTACTTGAGCCTTTTTTTTGTTTGTTCTCCCGTCACATTTTCTCTCCTACCGGCTCAAGTAGACCTTTCTCTCGACCCTGGTGAAGCAATAGATTTTGGAAGAGCGAGTGCATTGTCTAAGGCTGTCGCGTGCTACGTCAGCCATCTTGTTTTGGGGTATCAGGAAACCGCACATACAGTTCACCTAGTAACATTTCGCATAATAGGGTCAAGGTCCGACATGGGAATCGAACTCAGGATCCCCTAGGCCCGTCGCCCAACCAATATATATGTAACGATTCGAGTACCTATGAATAAATGAGTACCTACTTATTTAAAACATGTAGAAAATAAACAAGTGAAACAGCCTACATAAACATGCGTCCAACAACTGCACACGTGCCTCCTCTCATTTCTGAGAGGGTTTTAAGGCAGGGCAGATTTCATATTGCCTTTGAACCAACTTTAACCAAATTGGTCACCAATACATTATTGTCCTTGAGGACTAACGTATTTTGCAAGCATCAGAACAGATCACAAGCTATTTCTCTTTGTAAGTATACAAAAACGTAATTTTAACCTAAACATCACATTTCATTAATAATATACAATATCAAATCAGCCGATTTGTTATTCTCATAATAATTACAAACATTTGAAATTCCATAAAATAAAGCGACTTAGCCCTAAGACCTAAGCCTATTTCGTTTCAATTACAATATTTAGCAATTGCTTTGTTTGATTCTTGTTTTCTATTATTTGCTTACATCTTTCCATTACACGTTTCGTAACATACTACTCTGTGTAAAAAGTATCGGGAATATGTCAATAAAAAGACCCGCGTAAAAGAGGTCGTTCTAATTTTTTTACTGCATGTTGGTAGCACTGTACTGATTTAGCGCGCAAAGTTTGAGCGGGATCTGTCATTTAATTTGTTTTAAACTACACTTTTTGTTGGTCATAGTTTTGAGTTCTCGGCGATTTTTACAATGGAAAATATTGTTGAACAAAGAGTGTGCCTTAAATTTTGTGTTTCGAATGATATTTCATGTGGTGAATCACTAAAAATGTTGCGAAATACCTACGGCGAATCGTGTATATCGAAAACAAGGGCTTATGAATGGTATAAGGCTTTTAAAGAAGGCCGAGAAGTAGTAGTAGACTTGCCTCGTTCTGGTAGACCTTCAACCGCTACGACCAAAGAAAACATCGACAAAATCAAGAAGCTAGTGCTCGAAAATCGACGTATGAGTCTGAGAGAGTTGGCTAGTGAGGTAAACATATCTTTTAAGTCCGTCCACAAAATTCTCATTGACATTTTAGGCATGAAACGCGTCGCCGCTCGACTAGTTCCAAAAGAGCTCAATTTTGTTCAAAGAGCGCAGCGAAAGCATGTCGCTGAAGACATGGTTTCCCGAGCTTCTACGGATCCGACCTTTACGAAAGGTATAATAACTGGCGACGAGACATGGGTTTATGAGTACGACATGCAAACAAGCCAACAGTCTTCAGAATGGCGTCTCGAAAACGAGCCGAAACCCAAAAAACCGCGGCAAAGTCGCTCCAAAATCAAGGTGATGCTGACAGTTTTTTTGACTACCGTGGTGTGGTTCACTCCGAATTCCTTCCAAAGGGAGAAACAGTGAATAAAGAATATTATTTAGGCGTCATGAAGCGTTTGCGTGAGAGTATCCGCCGAAAACGTCCAGATTTGTGGCAACACAACTCATGGATGCTGCACCATGATAATGCACCATCACACACAGCCATTATAGTGAAAGAGTTTTTAGCGAAAGATTCAACAAAAGTTCTCGACCAAGCACCGTATTCACCAGATATGGCTCCGTCTGACTTTTTTTTATTTCCCAAGTTAAAATTACCACTTCGAGGAAAACGTTTTGAGTCGATAGAAGCCATAACAAAAAATTCGCTGAATGAGCTAAAGGCCATACCGCAAACAGCCTATGAAAAATGTATGGAAGACTGGGTGAAGCGTTGGAGATGTTGTATTGCAAGCGATGGGGCCTACTTTGAAGGCGATAAAATAAATTTAGATGAATAATTTGTATTTTTTGTTTTATTGACAAATTCCCGATATTTAGTACACAGAAGGTATTTTTCATACTAACTATTTTTCATAGAGACTTTAGTGTAACTCTTTCATCTATGCGTCTCAAATGTGTGAGTGGGTGGATTTTTATATGTCCTGTAGCTTTTACATTTTAGCTACAAAAAAGGTATTTTCGTGTACAAATAACGTCGCTGGATAAGAAAATACCGTGTATTTTCTTAATATTTGATATTACTATGAAAATGACACGAGTGAAGTGACAACTGTACCTGAGTCTAGGGTTGTCATTAGTTGGATTTTATTAATGATATATTTGAATATGATTCATTTAGTCTGTTTTTTCTCACCGTTGTACAAAAATATTCCCGTCGTTTGAACCGAATACAAACAATCAGCGCTTTCTCGACCAACTTTGTGCTCTTGACAAAGTACAGTAATCTGTGGTCGGGATGTGAGTGGTTAAGTACAAGTCACCAAATCAAAATGTGATCTTAGTAGAAGCCTAGAGTCTGGAATAATGTTCGGTATATGACAATACGGTAACAACTAACGACAACGATCGCTCTGTCAAAAGTGGAACGACTATGATGATAGCAATAGACTTGCCCCTTATTATATGAAACTTAATAATAATAACTGGCAAACTGCAGTGTAGTATACTCCTATTTCTCACCCTACGAGGATTGCCGGCATGATATTGTCTTTTGTGTTGTATTTAAGTAAATTTTAATTCTATTATAGTTATACAATAAAACGGGACACAATAAAAAGCGAAGCAGGAGAAAATCAGAAGCTCGTAATTATACGGATTATTCAGCGGTAATATTAGGCGTTGCAGTAGATCTTTGAACTTTTGAACAATAACTTTGTTTCGCACGAGATTCGCTGAAATAAAAGAAATGCAATTTAGAATTCCGCGTGAGTGAATCCAAAAACATTCATAACAAACCATTTGGACGACCCACAAAGTTATCAGCTGAGAAAGAACAGTACAGTAAGCGCGCGAGTTCATGTCCATCGGGGCCAAGGGCGACGCGCAGGGGCAGCTCTCCCTGCTTTCACACGCTTGACCGCATTTGTCTGCAGTCGAGTGTTGCCTTTGATGGTTGTGACGCGCGCTTACCCATACCGAAAATTAGTCGCAATTGTGTTATTTTAGCGTGAATAAACCATGACTACTTCGCTTCCAGCAAGTTCAGGAAGAAAAAACCTTTATAATACATGTGCAAGCACGTGAAATGGTGAGAAATGTATGTAAATGAACAATGCTTTAGACCGAGCGGCCCCTTACACTGGACTTACTAAAAGACCAATCTAGAATTCAAACAGAACCAAAAAATGGACCTCTGCATTCGCTTTCCAAAAAAGGGAAATGAAATGTTAAGCCATCACTTTTTTTTTGATGTCCTGAGGTGTTTACTACAGTCTTTAAGAACACAACCAGGCATTTTTTTGTGGTTATTTATGCGAGGCGAACACGACTCGTCTGTTCAGTGTACCGCAAAGCGTGGCGCAAAGTTATGCAAGGCGTTGTCTTCTCTATACATAGTAGTAATACCTCAATGGTTACATGCTGGTTTTTTCTTAATTTTCATGTATTAGTAATTATCAGGCATTTTTCGTTTTAGTTTCTTTGTCGTTAAAATAGAATCATTAGTTAATTTTCAAAATGATTTGACTAACAGAATATCGAAATCGTACGTTAATTTTAAAAAGTCGCCGAAAGATTTTATCACAAAACAATATTGTATTAGCCGAGAGAATCAAAGAAACAACAAAAAAACGAAAAAATCGTCAAATATAGGTAGTCTCCGAAGATGGCAGATCACTCAACGCATGGTGCAAGATCGGAAATGTAGAGGAGAAACACACTGGAAAGGATGGAGTAACTCGGGTGGTGCCCCAAGGTTCACAACGGTGGATAAGGCTTCCGCTTTCATATCTCAACGACGAATGACTTCCGCGCTTTAACCGGCATCTAAAAGCCCAGAATCTGAGCTTTCACACGTACTCCCTCGCAGAGGCCCGCAACCTCCCTCGTCCCCCGTTCGCGGGCTCCCTAAGGAGCTTGAAACCGAACACATTTTCAGCGATCTTAAATCGGAAAATCTCCCAGTCAGGGAAGTGCACAGAATGCACCACCCCACTAACAAAAAAGATCTATGCGTGGTCCTGTCTCCATTCTCGAGGCCAATGCTATCGATGCCAACTGTACGGCGACTCGACCAAAAATTGTTTCTCCCAGCCTAGGTGCCTTAATGATAGAACGTCCAGAGTCCTGCCAGCAGGACTTTTCGTACTACCGGTAGGTCGCAATGTTTTTATATGAGGCTTTCTAGGCCTGCGAGCAGGACGCAATTTACTAACACGCATAGTGCGTCTCTTTCTGATTCAGCGAGATTTTGAATCGTGTTTCTGCGATCAGTCTGGCCAAAATGGCGGCGAGTATAACACGTGGTGTCCGCGTTAAAGCTACATATTTCGACGAAAATGATGGCCAGAACACCTGGAGTCGCAAACATTTTGGTGATAACTACGATATAAGTTATTGTTGGGGTACTGTAAGAAAGGTAGAAAACAACCATGCTAGGGTATATCGGGAAATTGACAAAAAATTTCATTGGTGCCCTGATTGCTGATATCGAAAACGATAATTTATTGGAAGCAAATACCAATGAAGAAAATTGTAAGTACCTACCAATATTATTTTATTCATAGCCTTACGTTACAATGAAAAAATAGTAGGTCGGTCGCCTGTTCGTTACCATAATTTGCATGGGTTGACAACATTTTTTTTGGATTTAAAATTTTTGGTTCACCACAAAATTTTCTCTAATGTACAGTCGAGAACTTAGTTAGCTAAGTATATACCTATAGTCTGACCTTGAAAGCGCCTATATTGCTCGTTATAGTGGCTGGTTACGCGGAAACGATTCGTGTATTTTAATTTTGTTCGAGGGTATATTTGCCAAGTGTTTATCCATCCTTTGACCTAATGTCCCTTCCGTACACACTGAAAGGGGAAAGGGGGGAGTCTAGCAGGTGACGCGATTCTTTCGACAAGTGAGAAGCGCGCCCGACCGAGGTGCTTGGTGGGAAAGCCGAGGCAATAAAGGCTTACGCGCGGCCCTCGAGCGGCCTCTTCCTTCGTACCACTGGCCTGGATCGCATCTCTGGGGCGCCCCAGAAGAACCCACCTCACGTCGCATCACCGCAACGGAAGCGTCGTCCGCCGCATCAGAATCACACCCCGTTAAGTGTGTTTTCCCGAAATTTTGCTCCTACTCGAGCATTTTTGTTTGTTACAGTTCACCTAGTATAACATCTCGTACAATAGGGTCAAGGCTCAACCTGGGAATCGAACTCGGGAACCCTTAGGCCCGCCGCCCAACCAGTGGCTGTTTTCAATATGTATATGTAAGAGTGTTTTTTTACGTGTTTGTGTGGGTGAGTTTGTATGTGTATATACATATATGAGTGTGGCTGTATTTGTATATATATGTGTGTGTGTGTGTGTAATTAAAAAAATGATTTTAATTTCAAATGTAATGAGTGCAACGTGCACCCCTTTGCTTCTATTGCTAGGACTAATAGAGCTTTTTTTTCAGCATCATCTGAATCGGGATCTTCGAGTGAAGATGACGAGACAACTGTTTTAGTCCATCCGACTCCGCGTATGAGCAGCGTAACAAATTCTTCTGCTGGAAATACAACCGTTGCGAAGGGGGCAACAAGGCTATTTCAAAGCTACCCTGCCAGTACCACTGGAGCCTGCACGAAGTGTCAAGAATGCATTTTTTACGGTATTTCCCAGAGAGAAACTTAGTTACATAGTCCAGTGTACCAACTCTTTGTTTCCCCCTAGACGGAAACTGTTGAAGGAGAAAGAATTATTAATTTTTTTTTGGTATATTATATGCTATGACTCTTCAAGAACTGCCAGACCGAATATCCTACTGGAATACGACTTCCGATGGAATATTTCCCGCCGCAAATTTTGGACAAAGATTTTGAATGAGTCGTCAAAGGTTTGAGATCATTCTAGTGGCCCTGCACTTCACACAACCGTCAGACCTTGATGATTCTGACAAATCGCATAATACCAAAACACTAGTAATGATGATGAATGATAAACTAAAAGATATCATCCATCCTGGTGCAAAAATAAGTATAGATGAATCCATGTTCGCCTGGTATGAAAGAGGTGCGTACGTCAAAGACGGGATGCCAGCAGTTATGACAATTAAAAGAAAACCAAAAGGAGTGGGTTGTGAAGTAAAAACAGCGTGTGATAGTAATACAAACATTATGATGAGATTGGAAATTAAAGAGGGTAAAGAAGCAATGAGTACGAAGAAATGGCAGGGAATTTGGCGCTGGAACTGCAATTACTTCGAGATTGACAGAGCCGTGGCATGGTTCTGGAAGAGTTATAGTTGGAGACTCATGGTTCGCTTAGGTCAAAACAGCTGTGGAGCTATTCAAAGTTGGATTGTACTTCATTGGACTGGTAAAGACAGCACACAGTTTCTATCCCGTGTCGGATATGGCTGCAAAGTATCCGACGCACAAGGGGCATTTGTTGTAAGTACAGCTGAAAAAGACTCAGTGCAGTTTATTGCCTGTGCCTGGAAAGACAAAAAAACTCATACATTTGTTGCAACTTGTGAAACGCCACTGCCAGGCCTGCTATCACGCAAATAAGGTGGGACGATGAAGGAAATTTATTTTTCAGAGAAGTCGCTAGGCCTTAATAATTAGTCCAACAGTATTTTGATGGTGCTGCAGCTATCGATTTTCACAACCAAATCAGGCAGGACGGATTGGCGTTAGAGAAAGCTTGGGGCACACATAAATGGGAACATAGAATTTATGCCTCAGTTCTGGGCATTATAGAAACAAACGCGTATTTGATTTTTAATAATTTCTTCCGCGCCGAACATGACCAGGTGTCTCACAGATGGTTTACTACCAACCTGGTATTAGCTCTGACTAAAAATGACACTAATAACCTACAAGAAAATGAGACGCCACCACATGAGAACATCCCTCATAGCGGAGAACACATTCCTGAAGCCTTGTCAAAATCAGATGACAGAAATAGATTTCAACGCAAGTGTATAGTTTGTTCGAGAGTCCACAAGAAACAGCAGAAAGCAAACTATTTTTGCAAGACATGTGGTTTGCGATGTGTTTTATGCTTTCCACAGACAGGAAGAAACTGCTTCACCTACTATATCACGAATGGAATTCCTGCATAACTTTTTTTTAATAAATATATTTTTCACTAAGTTCCTTTCATATTCTTGTTTATTTTTCTACCCCGTAATATCACTCTATTATCTTGATGTTAGTGCTGTTAGTCTATGCGACTCTTACAGTTTCATCTTGTCACAGGCCTTGCAGGCCGCGAGCTAATTACGTAATATCAAGAAGCGCCCGCGTCTATTCCTAGATACCTATACTAAATTACAGAATGTTGTCACCCCTGCCTAATTTTATTACGCATGAAAGTCAAGTACTGCTAGAAGGACAGCCTCTGATATACATAAAAAATCCACAAAATATTGCGTACTGCTAGCAGGACGCACGTCCCTAGGATTGTCCTTCCGGAAGCTCCTTCCAGCAGGACTAGGGCTTGGACGTTCTATCATTAAGTGTCTAGGCGATCACGGCACACCCGAGTGCATCCGAACGCCCGAGCCTTAACCAAACATCAACAAATAAAGTCTCGTTACACCGGAGCCCTCTTCCTCGATGTCGCAAAGGCGTTTGACAAGGTTTGGTACGACGGCTTGCTTTACAAGCTGTATAAACTAAACGTGCCCGATAGGCTCGTGCAAATCAAACGAGCCTTCCTTTCAAATCGCACTTTCCGCTAATTAGTGGAAGGAACCCGTTCCCCGAAACGTTCCATAAAGGCCGGGTCCCACAAGGCTCCGTCCTATCTCCACTCCTCTTCACGAGTGATATTCCACCCAGTGGTGAACACCGCACTCTTCGCCGATGATACGGCACTCTTTGTATTTGATTACAATAAGAATAGTCTCACTATGAAACTCCAAAAAGCTACCAATCGCTTAGGAGAATGCTTCCGCCAAAGGAGAATCGAAGGGAATCCCGAAAAAAGGGTATTTATATACTATCAACGGAGTCCAACTCAACACCATAAGACTTGTGGACCAAAAGCAAAATTAAAAGTCATATTTCTATATGGCCGCCCCATCCCCTGGGAAGAATTGGCCAAATACCTGAACGTCAAGTTCGACGCCCGCATGAGTTTCGCGAAACACATAAGTGTAGTACGCAACAAAGCCAAGACAATCATTGGCGGTCTCCAATTTCTTGTTAACAGAAAGTGTCGCTAAAGACACAAGCTCTACCTGTACAAAGCCTACGTTAAACCTATTATGTCCTCTGTAAGTGTAGCTTTTGCCCACACATATAAGAACTACAACAAGTTCAATATTATTTAAAAAATATAGTAGACTCTCGTTAATTCAAGCCTGCGATAATTCGAAGCTCCATATAATTCAAAGTTATCACGAGTTCCCTACAAAATATCGTTATATTTTGAACTAAATCAATAAATTTTTATGCACTCGGTAATTCGAATAAAAAAATCGTTGCTACGTTACAAAACGACGCGGTAATTCGAAACGATCGGCAATTGAAAGTTACAGACAGAAAGAGACAAAAAAAATTGTAAGTGCATTTTGAGTTTTGAGACAAGTTCAAACTTGTAGATATCATCCTATGAAAGCCTTTGTTTTTGTTGTTATTAGTTTGACACACACTTCCACACAAATTGATTTTGTTAAGTTATGTTTCAGTCACTGTTACTCTTTCGTTGGTTGTATACAGATTAAAAGTTTATGTTAGTTATGGAGTCCTAAAAAGTATAAATGCTTGACGATTGCTGAAAAGAAGAAGTTAATCAAAAAGTAGAGGGAAGTGAGAACTAAAGTGATGTTGCAAAAGAATTTAAGATTCCTCTGAGTACAATCTCAACTATAATAAAGCACAAGGAGAAAATTTATGCTGCTCAAACTGATGGAGTACGGAAAAGAACTACCAAAGGTGAATTTCCTCGTCTTGAAGAAAGCCTGGTCATTTGGCTAATTTTATAGTATTAGAATCTCTCGACAAGCAGCTAAATACGAATATCACGGTTCTGAGAGCTATTTTACTGATTGACAAGGCATGGAGAGCTGTAACACCCCTAACGATTCTCAACTGCTTAAAAAATCCGGTTTCATAAAAGAAGATCGTGAAAATATTCCAATAATTATGGATGATGAAGAACCAACAATAGAACCATTAGTTGACATCAGCGGTGCGAGTTTTTCCGATTTGTTCAAGTGGATGAAGATGTTGCTATCGCAGGTTCACTAATCGATGGCGAAATTTTGTAGATGGTACAATTAAAAAACAATGAAGATGAGGACGATACATCAGAACCTTTGGCAGAGGTGTCAGTTAAGGAAGTAAGAACCTCATTCATACCTTAAAAAGCTTCTGTTTACAAAACGAAAGTGATGAAAAAGAAAAAAATGTTATTGAGCAGACTGAGCAGCAGCAATGTGCTTTGATGCAAACCAGTATAACAGATTTTTTCGAAAGATTAGTTAATTAACATTATGAATATGTAAACGAATTTACCTCTAAACTTTTGTCATTGTAAAAGAATAGCAGTTAATAATAATTGATCAAGACAATAATTCGAAGTTTTATTTATTTTCTCTCAAATATTTCGAAACATTTGATATTTCAAACACTCGATGAATCGTAATATTTTAAGTCCGTCGAGTTTCGTATTAACGAGAGTCGGCTGTATTTTGATATTCAGCTTTGTGAAGTAAAGCAAGGTTTACTCGAAGCCAGCACTGGCTTGTTATTGGCCCCGAACAGTTTTCAAGACAAGCCTTCGCTGCCTGCCAGCACTGGCTGGAATAGAACGCCTGTCTATTTTTCAAGCCAGTGACTTCCGCCCGCGTGCCCCGTAACCCCGTGCCAGCGTGAGGATGCATGTAGACGCATAGCGCCAGGTGCTGGCGCTTATCCGTAGATTGTTGACGCGTTTTGTTTTTGTAAGATTTTCCGCGATGACTAGAAAATTGAATGAGGACGAAACATTAAAATTTGTTCAGCTGTATAGAGAGCAAGAATGCTTGTGGGATAAGAGGTGCGATGCTTACAAAAATAAGCTAATGCGGGCTTCGGCAATAGAAGCCCTGCGTGATGGAATGAATAAAAGACTGACTACCTATGAAGTGAAAGCAAAAATTAAGAGTATTCGACATACTTACTATTTGGAAATCGACAAAATCGAAAAATTTACAAGATCTGGGGCCGGGGGGGGGGGGGGGACATTTAAAAGCCAAAGATAATATGGTTTGATGAATATGAATCATTTGTTAAGTTGAAGCCTGTTACAGTGAGGGAAAAAACAACTGTAAGTAAAGATCATTTATTGTTTACTTTAGATCAACATTCATTACATTACGACCACAAAAGTGAAGTGAAGTCAGTTATCTTCGTACACACGCACTGAGCGCGGTTTTATAATATGTTTGCGCACTCAGCTGGCTTAAGTATTGATATTGCATATAAAATTTTGTTTGTTTTCTTTTTTTTTACTTAACTATGCCTCCTCGATCGATAAATTTACTTAGTTTAGTGGAGTACAGCTCGCGTCAATTTTTTTGGCGGCTCTGTACCCGAAACTAACTTCCTAGCCACGAAAAAGATTGACGCGGCCTGTATCAAAAAATCTAATTAGTTGGATTTGTTTGATTGAAATCGGATTTATTTCATTTTATATTATATTAGTACAAAGATAATATTGTAAATGTATACTACTTAATTGCAAAGAACATTTTCTTCGTCTATAAAGTGTAAACTCTTCTCTCGTGCAATTTCTGCTGAACGACTGCTACCTTGATTAGCAATACTCTCTAGGGCGTGTATTGGGCTCCTCCATGAACCTGGCTGATCATTTCCCTCTTGATCTTCCCTATCTACAAAAGTTGTAGTGATGTACGAAGTTGATCTTTTTCGTATCCAATTATGAATGGCACAACAAGCACAAACGATTGCATCTGCTGCTTCCAACTTAGTTTGTATTGGCTTTTCTAATACCCGAAATCTACTAACCAACCAAACGTATTTTCGATTATACGTCTGGCTCGAGATAACCGATAGTTAATAACTTTTTGTTTTGTACTGAGATTGACACCTGGATACAGCTTCATTAAGTATGTCTTTAGCGGAAAGGCCGCATCCCCGATAGTCACTCCGTTGTCAGGTAATAAGTTATTTTCCAGCTTTCGGTAAATTGAACTATTTTTAAAAACTCCTCCATCCGATGCGCTACCACATGCGCCAACATCTATATACGAAAAACAGTAGTCGTGATCCAATTCACAAAATTCCACTTTTAGGAGGAGCTTTGATTGACACATGTTTTCCGTCTATGGAACCGTAACATAAAGGGAAATCCCATCTTGTTTTAAACCCAGTTTCGATCATTTTCCATTTTTCTGCATTTGGTACCTGTAAAAAAAGGCAATTAAATTACTTTTTTTTTGTTTAACTACAGGATAACACAGAAGACTCACATAGCGTCTCTTCACATATCTCAACACACGAACAAGGATCATCGTCGGTTAATACACCGCGCTCGGACAATGGGGTAGAAAATGAATCAGAGACACCACAAGAGGCGGAACAAGATACATCACAATTCACTCCACCCACTAAAAAAACTAAGCGGGGAAAATTATCCCAGTTATCTGACATGATAAAAGATCTGACAAATATTAATAACGAAAACACAAACACATCCATATGCAGCGAAGAAACAGATCTGGATATATTTGGAAAAAGCGTCTCGGCACAAATGAAAAAATTATCAGAGGAATAGGCAGTCGTCTGAATAGAAAAGATACAGAGTGTATTAACTCAATGCATGCTTACAGATATACACAGGCCAGGAATGCATTGTCTTTGCGTATTCCACAATTTTCTCAATCAATTCAGCAATCTCAAAATATGTCATCTATTCATTGGAACCCATCTCAAACCTATCTTCCTCCAGAGCAAAGTCCAAGAGATACTACAAGTTCTTTCACGAGTTTCCAGTACAGCGATGATAATTATATTTTAATTATATTTTGTTTTTTCTCCTGTGACTTCAAGTAATAATGATAGTCATGGCGAAAACGTCATACAATTTGCGTTCAATAATACTTAAAATTAATTGATTGTTGGATTTTAATACAGTTATGTACCCATATAATTTAATTAAATAAATAAATAAACACTTACTTTAATAAACTGTTTTAATGCTTCATAAATTGCTCGACAAACTTCTGGTGTAAATACTGATATAGAACGGTAATACACGGTATTACACGGTAAAAATGACTCAGGCTTTGGTAACTCATTCCAGTAGCTAAGAATGACAATGTTACTTCTAGCTTTATTTTTGCTGGTAATGCATCTCTCATTAAAGTATCTTTACGCTGAATCGTGCTATGTATAAGTGATAGTAGCTTGTCAAAGTTTTCAGTCGTAACTCGCTATGCCAATCTATACTTGGAAGGATCTTCTTATCTTAGTTGATCTTGCAACAGTCTTTTATTTTTTACGATTTCATCCTCTAAAATATTGAATAAATATTCTCTTAATAGTGCAGAGATATTCTTTATACATTTATTTTTTAACCGCCGTCGCAGTCGTCCCAAATGCATTTTTTTAAAACACAAAACGTGTGCGCACCACAAGAATAATCCAGGAATATAATTAATTGGCCTCATCTAAACAACACGGGCCAGGCCTGCGCTGGCTTGTCTGAGGACTGGCGCCAGCGTTACTGGCTTCGTGTAAACCTTGCTTATCCTTTGTTTCGTTTTATTACTAAGCCCTTTCAAATTCTGTAGTAATTTCATAACGCTTTAAAATTACAAGAGATAATGTTTTCTAAACATTTTTGATTAAATCATTGATTTTTATTGAAAACATCATTTTGATTTGAATCGTGATTTAAATTTAAATGATTTATTTATGTCAACCCTGATGGAAAGAGGAAATTGAATGACTTAGAAAGGTTTTACTAAAAGGTACAGTGTCGATGTTTTGTGAACTTATTTCGAAAATTACTCCACAGTTTAAGATTACAATTGCAGAAGCGCAAAGTTGCAATTCTGAGAGATCCACTAGGATTGCGCAGAAACTTATACCTGTGTTTCGCAGGATTAAATTCAATCATATCTCTATAAGTTTCTTTATTTATTGTGTCTTTGTGGTTTCATCAAAAACAGCATGCCATTGCGATACGATCGGATAATCTTAACCACAATAAAGATATGGTAATAGTTTATATTGATATGATATTAACAGAAATACCAGAAGATGTAAAAGACGTACGCATGTGGTCAGAAGGTCCAGCTGCACAATTAAAAAAATCACATGGAATTTTTTCACCATTTCAAATGGGAAAGAGCCAGTAGACGGAATCGGAGGTACCCCTAAACGTCGGGTACGAAATTTAGTGATGACGAGAGAAAAAATTGTGTCAAATACGCGACTTTTCTGAAGCTCAAGGGTACAAATTATTTTGATGAATGATGAGGACTTTAGTAAATGCCATGAAGACCTAGCATTATCCTTTCAATGAGCACACGGTCGAGCCCAACCAAGGCGATGTTACGTCAAAATTCAAGCGGTCGAATCCGACCGCACTCACCCACAGCACTTTAACCCATAAATACTTATATTTAGAGACTATCTACCTTTCTATGAAGAAGCTTGGCATTATATAATCTATACGAAATTTTCTATCCTGTGGTCCACGGCAGGTAATCTTCATAGAAGTTATAAGAGCCCTAAGTCTATGGTTCACATATCATAAATGACAGCTCCTTCCACTCCCATCTCTTCCTTCACATCTTTATCATTTTCTGTCAATGTTAAAAAGTCGTTATTTTAATATATGTAGTTTCAAATTCGGTCGAGTGTAATTTTGCGTTGATTTATTTCCGTAACTAATCCTCTCAATTCCTGAAGCTCTAAGATTATATTGTCTTGCAAGATGTATAACAAGTGTTGTGTTCCAACGTGTGCTAGTAAACGAAAGGACGTCAGTTTTCATATGTTTCCAAAAAGTGAGATAGGGTAGACCGTCCTAAAGCCGGCCAGTGGCTAAGGCCGGCCACCGTCACTAAAATCCCTCATAAACTATTTTGCGCTATGCCAATAAGAATTATTTTTATTCTAAAATGACCCTTATTTATCAGCGTAATAATCAAACAAAAGAAGCGACGATACGTCACTGCTTTTCACTCATTCGCGGCCGGATATCCAGAGCGTGCGCTCGTTTTCGATTTTAGCAGAAATTGTTATCGAAACTCGCGTATTCCGCCTTTTGTGAGGTAAGTGTTTTTAAGAGTTTTAAGTGTATTTTGTGTGTTAGCTAATAATATTTTATTTATTTATTGTACTAAAAACGATATTGAAATGCTATTTTCCGTAATAATTCATTGCTTTGTGAAAAAATAGGGTGGCCGGGTTTAGGATTAAAAAAATACTGTAAAATATAAAGACGGCATAGGTGGCCGAAGTTAGGGCAGACTGTTGAAGTGGTCGATTGCTAAGCCCGGCCACCCACTGGCCGATTGTACAGAGTATTCCTATTTATTCATTCCTATTATTTTATTAAGGTCAACTCTCGCAATTCAAACTACCAGTTAAGTTTTAACAATAAATTAACTAAATCAGATCAGGACGTTGCAATCGTTTTTCAGAAATATTTTACTGATATTCCGATCTTAACCACAAGTCATTGAATTCTTCTCCTGCCGTCGCCACAAAATGTAAATGTGTGTACAAAGAATTTAATATTTCATAAAGTGTCATCAAAAGATATTGTAAAATATTTTAAGACTATTGATATTAAGAGAACCGCCGATCTGTGGGCGATTTCTGTTAAAGTTTTTGCGTCTATAATAGATACAATCGCACCTCAAGTATCTATTATTTTTAATACTAGTATTGAATCTGGTGTGTTTTCTGATTTAATGAAGCATAATAAAGTAATACCTTTATTTAAATCTGGTAGTACATTGGACCCCGCTAATTTTAGACCTATTTCTGTACTGCCAACACTTAGTAAAATTTTTGAAAAAAATTATTCTTGATCAAATGTTAAATTTTTTTAATGTAAATAATTTACTTCATAAAAATCAATATGGTTTCACAAGGGGTCGCTCGACAACTGATGCTGGTGTTGAGCTGATTAAATATATATTTAATGCATGGGAGAATTCACAGGATGCTTTGGGTGTGTTCTGTGACCTATCCAAAGCCTTCGATTGTGTTCACCATGAAACATTAATCAGGAAACTTCGACACTACGGTGTAAGAAGTGATGCTCTTAAATTAATTATTTCATATTTAAGTGACAGAACGCAAAAATTTGTCATTAATAGTATGAGTTCTTCCGGGTCAATTGTACAAATGGGCGTGCCTCAGGGCTCAATTCTCGGCCCCTTTCTGTTTCTTGTATATAGTAATGACTTACCTTACATAGTAGGGGATAACCATGATATAGTATTATTTGCTGATGATACTTCATTAATTTTCAAATTAAAACGACAGTTATTAAATTACTACGAAGTAAATAATGCTATAGCTAAGTTAGTTAATTGGTTTAATGTTAATAATTTGCATTTGAATGGAACTAAAACTAAATGTATGAAATTTGTAACTCGTAATGTTAAACATGTCAATACTAATGTAATTTTAAATGGGGAGGAACTGAGTCTTGTTGATTCCACCATTTTTCTTGGAATAACACTGAACGCAAAGCTTCAATGGCTCCCCCATATATCAAAACTAGCTAGCAGACTTAGTTCTGCAGCATATGCTGTAAAAAAGATTATAACTCTTACCAATGTTGAAACAACTAGAATAGTTTACTTTAGTTATTTCCATAGCATTATGTCGTATGGTATTTTGCTATGGGGACACGCGACTGACACTGAAATTATATTTATTTTACAGAAGATGGCCATTAGAGCAATATATAATTTAAAACCAAAAGATTCATTGAGACAAAAATTTAAGGAAATTAATATTTTAACTCTGGCCTCTCAATACATTTATGAAAATGTAATGTACGTACACAAAAATAAAAGTAGTTTTGCGAAAATAGGTGATATTTATTCTGTAAATACTAGAAACAGACACAAGCTAGTGGTACCAGTTACTCGACTCCACCGAGTCAGTAATTCATTCTTGGGGCGATGTATACGCTTTTACAACAAAATCCCAGAAAATATACAAAATTTATCATACACAAAGTTCAAAAATGTTATTAAACTAAGTTTGTATAAAAAGGGTTATTATAATATTAAAGAATTTATGGATGATAATAACCCCTGGGAAGGGTGATCGCTACCAAGCTATTTCTAATATCTCTTGTGTTGCTAATTGTAAATATGATTGTAAGCTATTATTGGAAAAAAAATAGTCCCGCTGGGTTTCTTGCTGGTTCTTCCCAGGACAGAGGTTTTTTTTTTTGCGAACCAGTGGTAAATGAAAAAAGTGACTTTCAATAAGTATTTGTTATAATCTACATTGAATAAAAAAGTTTCTGTTTCTGTTTCTGTTTCAGTTTCTATTATTAGATCGACAATGTCTGAAAGTGACGTAGAAAATAAAGGTAAACGTAAAAAAAAATTGCAGTATGATCGTACTTAAATAAAGAACGCACTAGAGGCTATCAAAAGCGCTAGCGTCAGAAGTGCTGCCAAAATTTATAATATCCCATGAACAACATTGCAAGACCCAATATATGGACGTGTCAACAAGGAAATCCTCCATGTAGGTAGAGAAACGGTATTGAATGAAAAAGAAGAACAA